GGCGAAGGTGAACGGGGGGAGTCCAGGGGGAGGAGGTGCTTTCTGTTTGCCTTATGAAGTCGTACAGGCGATGGAGGGTCGCCTCATATCTGAACTCAAGATTTCGTGGTCCGTGACCATTTGGAAATGTGATAATTGCAGGCAGCCAGGCTGGATAGCAAGCTGGCAGCCCGGCAGCCCGGCAGCATGGTAGCCTGGCAGCCTGGAAGGCGAGCGAGCAGGCAGGAGCTGTAATGAGGCATAGCCAAGAGGTTGGCTGGGGTTCGCTGGGTTTTCCGACTCAAAAGTGCAGCTGGGCTTGGCTCCTGTGAGTTCTATTTCTGCCCCCGACTCCAGCGCCAATTTCAGCGCCAATTCAAACTGCAGCTCCACCTCCAACGACTTCTTTCTCCTCTTTATCTCCGCCACTGTCTCGGCTACTGTTGCCCATTTCGCATTTAATGTGACAATGTCACTTTGTGTGTGCCTCTTTGCTATCCGACTGTTAATTTCCAAGGCCCGAGTCTGAGTCTGAGTCTGAGTCTGAGTCAGGGCAAGTTCACACTCTTAATTGGATTTGAAAGTGCAGCAGGAGACATCAGTAGGAGCGGAGAAGACGAGTTGACACCTTCTCTGTGGGGCTACACCCTTCTTTCCCTCTGGCTCTCCACACGGAAACTGATTAGATTCGGTTCCTGTGAATGGGGTTATCCAAGCAACTCCATGTTGGGGCTTTCAAGAAATGTTTCCCCCACGTCTACGATGGCAAATGGCCTTAGCTTGGGAATGGAGATCGGAGCTAGAGAGGATATTTGGACCGTTGGATCCGTCCAGCACAATCAACGAAGTCATCCCTTTCCGTATCAGTTATTTGTTTGCCAATAACCTCAGACAAACAATTGTTAATTTTGGGCAAACCACAAAAGGGAAATTCCGCTAATTGAATTCCCATTGATTGGATGTGACTGCTATTAAATGGTGGTTAACTCGACAGTTGACTGGGAGTCAAAGGGCTTCAAAGGTGTTGCAAGGGGATGGCTATCTTGCTCTATAAATATGCAAACAAATAATAAAAGCTGCCAGCTGTCAGCCGACAAAGTCTCACAAGTCCCAGAAGACGAGTGACTGCATGAATGGATTGATTGAGTGGAGGAGGCTGGGACAGAAATGCCGTTTACTCTGTTGATGTACGAGCCACAGCCAGATATGTGTACGTCTGGCTCTGGATATATTTCCTTATGCCACTTACTTTATCATTTTATCGTTTCATTTCTGGCAGCCTGACGAGTAGGTAAGTGAGCGAGTGGGAGAAACGTTGGAAATGCATCGGGTATTGGGTCAACATTGAGTTGCACTTTGAAGGCAAAGTGAGGCGAAGAGAGGAGCCCAGTTGGGACGACAGCAAAGGGGAAAAGATACTCGTAAATCGCTTTCAAGAGCGTCAACAAATCGAATGAGTGAACAGCCACTGAAAACAGAAGTTTGCATTTTATTCCCCCACTCTTTCCATTGTTCAAGCGGCAACAAAACAATTGAGAAAGCCGCAAAACCTCACAGCAACAAAATTAGTTACAAAATCTAATCAAAAGACCCCCAGGCGCCAATGACAACAGCAACAAACAGAACAACATGTAATTACATGGGGAAAACTACGAAACAGAAACAACAAATCGACCGAGCCAACCAGCACCGAAAATCGAAATTGAAAATTAATTTCAAATTAATTTCAAATTCACCAAAAGCGATAAATTTTGCGCAACCCCCGTGACACACACAGGCACACACACACGCCGAAGTGGAGCCATACGTCTGTGTGTGGAGTAGGTTGGGGGTCCCGCTTTCCCGGCTGCTCGACCTGTAAATGTCGAAAAAGCTTGTAATCAAATAAACAGACAAGGCTGTCGATGGAAAATTGCCCTGCTCAGAGTCAGGCGGAGCAGTGGGACAGCGGGGAGTGGGGTGCTTAAGATATGCGAAGATTGATACACCCTCAGATATAGCGTAAAGAATGAAAAGCTTACATAAAATCTCAGCCAGTAAGTGCACTGAAACCTAAACACATTAACTATTGAATAAATTAAACTCTTCCTAAATTATATTCCAAATTTATCTGCGCTGTTCAATTGAGTGCAAGGAAAAATCAAGAGTATAGACAGAGTAATAATACACGATTTATGCATTATACAGGCAATTAGGAACGTAATTTGAAATTAAATGTTCCCTTTAAACAATAACCAAAAGTACTTACGAGTTAGTTAACCCCTACACAGACAGAGTCACAGCCACAGCCACAGTCAGAGACAGAGACAGAGACGGAGACGGAGAGTGTCACCACTACAACTTGCCATTTCCATGAATTTTCATTAGCCGAAAACCGTTGAGAGACCCACTGAGCCGAATTTGGGCTGGGAAGGGACCGACCCCCCAAAAGCAATTATGCCAGAGAGTGCGAGCAGGAACAGCAGCGGAGAGCTGCAGCTGAGGTGCATGTCAGTCAGTCAGTCAGTCAGTCGGGCCCAGACAAAAAGCCAATCCAATTCCAGAGTGTTGAGTGCAGTCCATTGAAAGCTGTGTGGGAGATTGGCCTGACATCAGTTCCATGAATAGCATGGATAGCTGGGCTGTATATTGCGGAGCTCTCCGGATTAGTTGTATATTTCGTGGCAAGTCAATTATTTACAATCTGTGATAAGCTTGCGGCCTGGCTTTTGGCATTCCAGTCGCCATATGTTCATCATAAACGTACAAAAACTGCTGACAGATATGGAAGAGCCCATCGAACGCTCCGACCCGGCCTTATCAATGCAGTTGTCTGGGTGTTATTAATGGAAACCCACCCCTCAACACACGGCCTGGCTCGTAATTATGAAACTCGGCGTGGCGTAAAAAGAGAATTTGTTTTTATGACGATCAACGGAATTCCAGAAAAATCATTCAAGGTAGAAATAATAAACACATTCACACAAAAAAAACCCTGCATACTCGTATTTGTGTGCAGCTTTAATTGCAAATTTGCGCGGCCACATAAGCAACGACAGAAACAAAATATATATATTTTTTATGTACTCGTATGTGTGGGGAGAGATCCGAATATTCCCGAAAATGTCCATGGCAAAATTGCTTATTTGTTAAGTTTTATCAGGCGGCAAGTGAAAACAACACTAAAAGCAATGTAGCTGTGCGCTGAATGGGCTTTGAAAACAAATCCCCGACTGGGATACAATGGGAACTCTGGGGATACATTTGGTGGATGCATTTGACAAAACTTTACATTTTATACTCGTATATGTTTATATTTTAATTATCTCTAAGCCTTGGGACCATCAAAAGATAGACTGACTTACAAAACCCATCGGTTCCATAAGAACTATCGCATACATTGTGCAGAGCAGTCCCACTGTTCCCGGCCATATGCAAATGTGATGTGGATTGTCCGGCAGAATTTCATTATTATTTCACACCAAGAACAGAGGATTGGAACCCACAGAACAACGAATCGAATCCCATTGCCACCCACCAAACGCATTTTGGTATGTAAATATTTTGGCGCGTGCCCGGAGCAAGGACCCCGTCACCATGGTTGGGGAACCTGGGACTGGCGCCAATATTTGCCAGTTTTTTGTTTAATTAAAACATTTTCTGCAATATTTTACTACATATACATGCGCTGTGCTCAGCCAATGGAAAGGGGAAACGAAATGCAAATTTTCACTGCCCAGGTAGCGCACAAATCCAATCCACATGAAATATTTAAGCCAAACAATTATGCCAGAACACTGGCAGGCCATAGATGCAATAAAATATTGTAATTCTTATTGTTGGTGTTATTAACTTTCAGATTTTCAATTGGTTTGGGTGTTTTCGTGGTCAACAATTCAAAATTAAACTAAAAGAAATTCATTTAATTTCCCATAATTTCCGAGTGCTGCAAATCTTTTTTGTTTTAGTTTTTCCTTCCTCTGTTTGTTTAGTTTATGATCTTCTAATTACATGCAGTCCATGCATTTTGTTGCTTTCACTATATAGGACGATGTTTTGTATTTCAAAGCCTCTATAATATCTGAAATTTAAGCTGAAAGAAGGACAGATCGACTGTGGAATGGAAGTGTTTTTGTGCTAATTATTTAATTTAATTTCAAAAGATGCCACAATCAATCATCAAACTGATATTGCCTCGGATCTACTAAAACAAACCCGTTATTGAACAAATTGAAAGATAAACTTAATTTACGTTGTATAATCCCAGCCATTAAGACAATACCACGCAGCAAACCCCATACTGTTCCCTAACACATTACAGGGTCGGTGTCGGTCCCATTAAAACCCTAAGCAAAAATAAAAAGCCAAAACCAACCAAACAAAACTCTGCCATAAAGTCCATTAGTGGCCGTTTTGCATACGCAATGGCCGAGAGAGTGGGCCGGAGGGCCCAGAGGCAGCTAAAATTGCGGTCAATGTGACAAGTTGGCAGGGTCCAGGTCCAGAGTTGCCAGAGTCGCCGGGTGACCAACGCTGAGAGGGAAAATGAGATGGTGAGGCTGTAAAACTCATTTGGTGGCTGATAATTGCGTGCGTCGCCGGCTTAGAGGGGGAGGATAGACGAGCGGCTGTCAAAAAACCAACTAAGTAAACGGGGGTATCTGACCACAACAGGGCGGTGGAGTGGTGGAGCTGCCTAGGGGGGGAGGCAGTCGTAGATATCATGAGATGCAAGTTTGCGTTTGGGCAAGTGCAAAGCAAACTGTGTGGCATAAAGTGTTGGATAACATAACTTTAACGAAAAGGGGAAAATCTCTGACTGATGCAATCAGACTCAAATGAAACGGCAAAGCTTAAACAAATATGGGCATGTATTATTGGTTAAGCAGCAAATTTAACCAGAATTAATCCATTTACGATGTCTATCTATGGAATCTATCTATTTATATTGGGGAGACTATGTCTTATTTTTTTTTTTTTAACTTCAATACCAAGTGAAACCCATTGAAAGATCTAACATAACGTCGAACTGCATCACTCACCTGATTCGTGTTCTCTATTGAGCGACAACGTTGACATATCCTCAGCGGGACTTATTTCCGCCAGTCCAGGCACTGGTTCGTCATCCTCATCCTCATCATCATCCCCATCCTCATCGTCGGTTCGATGGCTGTTGTCGATGCGACTGTCAGTGGCAGGGCTGCCATTGCCATTGCCATTGCCATTGATTACCTCGATGACACTCTGGACCGAATCCATCGATGACGTGGCAGATACCAAAATTGGTGTTGTTATCGGGGTGGCCGTGGCCGTGGCCACCGACGACGCTGATGAGGATGTCGACGAGGGCCCGCTGAGCAGGCCATTTGACTCCTTTGGCTGTTCTCCTTCTCCCTGCTGCAGTCGCCCCTCGTCGGGCAGTTGATGGCTCTCGAAATGCAGGTCATCCAGCAGCAGCTCGGGACTTGGGTCAATGGTGGAGGTCTGGGTTTGAACAGCGGGCGCCACATTCGGTAAATCGACACTGGCCAGGGTGATAATTGGTTGACTCTCGCCCTGCTGCTGCTCCACACCCAAAATGATGCGCTCTAATGGCTTTGGGGGCGTCGCATCCTGACTGCTGCGTCGCTGGCTGGGCGTGGGCTTTGGCTTGGGTCCAGAGCCACTCCCAGTGGCACTTGCCGTTCCTGTTCCTGGCAGCTCACTGCGCTTGCTGGGAACTGGTGGAGGCGCGCTCTTGGGCTTAATCAGAGTTGGCGACAGCTTCGGCTTGTTTGTGGGCACGGGAGGCTTCGGCTTAGGCTTGGGCAGGGGAGTGGGAGTGGGAGTGGGGGTTGAAGTGGGATTGGTCCTGTCCTGTTGCTTAGGTGTTTCGATGATGTGCTTGTGTAGGAGATAGCCAAGGTCATCTTCGAGGGCAGGTGAGATGACTTTTTCTTCTTTGTTCAAGTCCTTCTTGATCAGTTGGATTTCTCCATCCATGGCCTGGATTCCGTCCTCTATAACTTTCACTTTTGACTCTTCTCCGTTGAAGGATTCCCTCACAGGATTTCCTTGTTCTTCCTTCCCATTAACTTCGTCCTGTTCCATGACTTTAGCTACCTCCTCTTCTGAAATTTCGACACCTGCATCTGCATCCTGACTCTCGACCTGTTCAAAGGCACTCAGGTCGAAGCCCTCCTGGTCATCAACCTGCTCCAGGTTGTAGAGCTTCTCCGCCTCCTTCTTGACCTTCTGATAGCTCTCGATTAGCTTCTGGGCCTCCTCTTCGAGGCGTCGCTCCTCCTCCGTTTTCTTGAGCAGCTTGGCCCCTTTCTTGCCTGCCGCTTCCTTGCTCTGCTCCAACTTCTTGGTCACCTGCTTCTCGCCATCCTTGGTCACCGTCAGAGTCTCACTGAGCTCCCGCTCCAAAGTGACCTTCTCCTCCGAGGGGCTGGCGATGACAGCTCCCCCGCTGAGGGTCTGCTGGCCCTCGAGGTAGGACTCCTGTTCGGTCTGCTCGCATTCGGTGTAGGTGGACATGCCTCCGTTCTCGGACAGCTGCAGCTGCTTGCCACATTCGGATAAGGTCAGGGTACCCCTCTCGATACTCTGTTTATCCTGTGGATCTTCCAGGCGCTCCCTCAGACGCGTCTCCGCCGAGACGGTGGCAGTCAACGGCTGCAGCTGCAGCTGCTCGTCTCCGTCTCCGAGCTCGAGCAGGTTGTCGTTGCTGCTGATCTTCTTGAAGCGGGCACTGCTCGACTTGGATCCGGCGCTGGTCACCAGCTGCTCCTCCCCGGTCAAGGCATCCTTTGTACGCAGTTCGCTGAGGGTCTGCTCCTCGCTTAGGACTCTCCGTTCCTCGTGGATGGTTGTGGTCGCTGTCGCCAGGGGTGGGGCTGTGCCATCCTCTCTCTCCTCATAGGACTGCAGCTTGAATGCAATCTCTGGAGTAAGGTTGGAGATGCTGGAGGAGATGCTGCTGCTGCTGCTGCTGCTGCTGCTGTCTTGGTGGTAGTCACCCGGGTCGTTGTGGTCCTTTGGGTCTTCACGGTGCTGCTCTCCTGAACGGAGCTACTTTCCTGGGTGGAGCTGCTCTCCTCCTGGAAGGACTTGCTGCTCGTTTCCTCGTGATTCGTTGTGGTTTGAATGGACGCACTGAGACTCTCCTCGACAGGGCTCTCTGCCAGGGCGATCTTATCATGTGCGTCATGGTCAGTAATCTTATCGACATTCAGACTCAGCTGGGTCAGTCCACCATCGTTAGCCTCCATGTTGGACGTCGCTGCTTGCAATTTTCTCAGCTCCTCCGGGTTGACAATGGTTCTGTGGGGCAGCAGAGAAAGAGAAGAACTTCGATCAGTCAACAAATTGAGTAATCATAATTATGGGGTTCTGCTTATCGGCATTCTGACATGCTAATTGACTCTGTTTCGCACCTGTTCGGGCAACAACGAGCGGAAATTGAATAGCAGTTGGGACAGGTTCTGTCGCCGATCGAACCTTTGCCTAACGTTTCCAAAATAACACTGACATTTCTCCATACCCGCGAGTATTTGCCACTCCGGAGCCCCTTATCGGACGGCTAGCGGCTGGCGCTGGTGCTGGGGCCTTTATCAGTGTGTTAGTAAACACACCGGCATTTTGTCTAATCAGCTATTGCTTTTTGTTTCTCTTTCTGTTTATTTCTTATTTTCGTGGGTGCTTCCTCTCCACCCTTTCCCCCTGCAGTGTGTCACACACTCGCATACTGCCAATATGAGTATCGTTTTTTGCAACAATCATTTGCTGAAGATTTGTCAACGGAAAGCCCCTCTCCATCGGCTCGTCTGGTAACCAAGGAACCAAGGAAGCGGATCTCTACTAACCGCTAACCCCTAACCAGGGATCACGAGTACTTCCTTCTCTTCATTGAAAGCTACTGTATAAAGTTACCCAGCTCACTTTACCTATCATTGGCACTTACCCATTTGTCAGCGACTGCGGCTCCAGAGATGAGAACTCCTCCTCGACCTCACCAATGGTGGGCAGCATATTCGAGTGCCAGAACATATTGAAGTAGGCCTCCGATGGTCCCGGACCATTGATTAGTTCGGGGGGTCCCAGCTTTTCGCCATCCTCACAGATGTACTCTCTCTCCGCGGCATCGGCATCGGCATCGACATCGTCGTCATCCTCATCTTCGCCGCTGGAGCTGGAGTAGCAAGTGGTGCTCTGATTGTCGTCGACGATCTTCATGCACTTGCCAACGACCAGGGGCGGGGGAGATTCTCTGGAGAGATCGGCTGCCTCGGCCGCGACGGCCGCCAGGAGGGCCGTAATATCACGTTGGTTTTCTGGGGAGGTCTCCAACTTCTCCTGTTTGTGCACCAGATCAAAGAGACTCGGCAGTTTGTCCTCATCCTGAGTCTTGCTCTCGTAGGTCTGGATCTTGAAGCGAATCTCGCAGTTGTTGGTGGGGGAAGGTGTGCCCACTGGTGTTGTCCTGGGCGTGGTTGGCGGTGTGCCTGTGCCGCCTTGTTTGAAGGTCTGCATGCTCAGCGTTGGCTGCTGCTGTGGCGGGGTCGTGGGCAGCATCTGCAGCTTTGGTATCTGTGTCTTCTGGAGGGACTGAACCCGCTCTGGCGGCTTGGGTTTGGGTCCCTTGGGCGAGCGTCCATTGCTGCCGCTGCTGCAATTGGAACTTATGCTCTCCAAGGAGTTCGCGTTCGAGTGGGAGCTTGTCTTGGCGCTGCCATTGAGCAGTACGGGAATGAGGGTCCGTTCGGGTGTCCTGGTGGAAGCCTCTGCGGAGAAGGCTCTCTGGAGAGGCGGTCGCCCTGGAGTCAGGACGGGGCTGGACTCCTTCGACTTGCTGCGGTACAGGTTCAGCTTGAGATCAGTCTCGGATTTCTGCTTTTGCAGCAGTCGGGGAATGCTGGAGCTCGTGGCTGGCGTGGAGGGAGATGAGGTGTGCTTTGACATGTGGGGGGACCTTTGCGTCGGTGTCGTGACTACGGGAATGCGGGACTTGAGCTGCTGCGGCGACTGTTGTTTGAGCGGTGGCATCTGCAGCTTGATCTCCCCCTCGGTTTTAGCTCGCGAAAACTTGGCCTTCGGTATTTTGGTAGAGCTCGGGTGCATCTCCCTGACCTCAATGCTGGGTGTCCTAGGGGATTCCAACTGGGGAAGACCTCTACTCTCATTTGTCGGGGTCGTAGGTGACTCTGCGGCGGGCACCCTAGGCGGAGCCACTTCAATGGGCAGCTTACTGGGCGCTGGCATCTTGCGGGGCATGGGTATAATGGATCTCTTCTTCGGCTCCACTGTGGCCAACTGGACCCGCGGCTTGGGTGTGGGCGTGCCCTCCGGACTCTTGAGCTCAACATTCTCATACACGTTCACCTTCTCCGTCTTGAACTCCACATTTTCATAGTTATTGCCGGGTATGAGCAGCGTCGGGTGTCCGTGTCCCAGGGGCTGCTCCAGGTGAAACTCCTCCTCCAGGAGGGTAAACGGCTTCAGAACCTTGGCCAGGTCATGGCCATTGAGACTGCTGGCGACGTCCGTGTCCGAGGAGTAGTTGGACCCCATCGAGAACTTGTCAATGACTGTGGATATGGTGCTGGCCGTGTCGTCCGACTCGGAGCCCGCCTTCATGGACTCGGCGAAGAGGTTTATGTAGTACTCGGCATCTGGCGGCGGGGTTAGCGGTTTCTCTATCACCAACTGAACCTGACTGGGTTGGGCGGGCGGCTCTCGGGAGTTCTGGCGCTTCACCAGCTTCCTCGGCGGCACCGGCGGCGGTGGCGGGGGCTGGGCATTCAGTATGATGGAGAGCTGTTCCAGCTGCTGTTGCTCCTCCTCGCTGGGCGGCTTCTGGCCGTGACCGTTCCTCACGATCAGCTTGATCGCCACACTGTCCTTGAGGCAGCGCACACAATCGATCCGCGTCATCTGGCAGACCTCACGTCCATCGATGCTCACGATCTCGTCGCCCTCGCGCAGGTGACCCCAGCTGGTGGCCACCTTGGAGGCGGGACTCTCAGCAGCGCAGGATTGTATGTAGAGTTTCTGGACCAGTTCGGTGTTCCTTGTGCCCCCCTGGAACTTCAGGCCGAAGCCCAAGCGCTCCCCCGGCAGACGGTAGACAGTGACGTCTTCCCCCTCCGTGCTTATCTGCTGGGAGGGGCTCTGCTGCTCCTCCTGCTGCTGCTCTTTCTGCTGCCGCTGCTGGAGCAGCTCCATCTCGTTGATGGTCAGCACTGTGATGAATGAGGAGGCGGAGTGAGGGTCCACGGAGCTTTGCCGCTTGACTAGCGTCTTCAAGTGGCTCGAGTCTTTGGTGAACGATGTGGGATCGTCGACTTCCACAACCGTCACGTAATCATCATCGCTGGTTGCTGTCTTGGCTGTTGTTGTCGAGGCGGCCATGTTGATGTTGTTTGTTGTTGTCGGAAAGCTCGCTCGGCATGTGGCAGATCGTTCGTGCACTGGCTAAGGTTTCGGTCTCCACTAAAGCTTTGACGGTTCTGTAAGAAAGGTAAGGAAAACAATGGGCTTAGTCAAGTAATGAACCAGAATGTAGGAATCATGTAAGTTTCCATTTCCAGGTAGAAAATACGAGACGTACGGAAATTAAATAAATTAATTAATTAATTAAATTAAATAAATAAGTGCAACTACAGTAAAGTGCTTCGCCATATACTGCGCACACTGTATCGGCCAAAATAGTTTTCCTCTTCCATGAAATTATAATTGATTTAAATTGTTCAACAATTGTAAAAATATTAATACTCGTATTTCCCTTTAAATTGTCTCATTTATGTAATTCGGGTACTATACGAGTAGTAACGTGTAATTTTGAAAACTCTTGAAGAGGTCAAAATGAAAATTCATAAGAAATTAAAGACACACTTTTCATCTGGTCTGCTCTCATCTAACTAATGGTCTTTGCTTGGCTTTTCCCTGCCCACATTCGTTTCTTTTTTTTTAACTTTCTGCTCTTCCTCTATCTGCCATGTTCCACTGTCAACAGAGCTGGAAAAATTTGTTATTTATGCACTTTGTAGCGCCAAAAATTCTCCGGCGGCACCTGTCAGTCAACACTTGGAGCAGCGCAAAAACAGTTCGAGGGGAGTCGCAGTCCCTGGCAAGCCAAAGGTTTTGGGGACAGGAATGGAGGAGGAGCTGGAGCAGAGAATTCTGGATGGACAGTGGCGACTGACTGGCAGCCGTTGACGTTGCGCATAGAAGGCAAACAAAATGGTAAAATGAAGGGGGAAATGGAACGGATAGATGAATGCCAGTCAAAGAATGCCATGCCTCGCGATGAGGCCCTCTCCTGAATGGGGCTGACACACTTTGAGCTTTCGAGGAGGATGGACGCATGCTGACCAGAGACAGGGAAAGAGTGAGCCGTAAGTGCTCCCCGTATAATTGAAGTCAAGTGCCGCACTGTGAGCAAATTTTATTCGGCACATTTATGAGCCATGTTTTCATTAAAAAGTATTACAATAATCGAAGCTACGGTTCTAAAGATATTAGCCAAAATATGTCCTGAAGTTTAGGGTACAAAATTACCGACCTATGCGAACTGGACTGGACTATCTGTATAACATTGTAACATTGTACTAATAAATGAGGTATTGAGCGAGAATTTTCTAAGTTATCAAATTCCGGGGTATATATACCGTAAATATACCGTTAGCCAAGATTGGGAAAATTTTCTGGGACTTTTTTTAATGTCTTTAATATGCTTAGAAGACTTTGTGAAATACTTTTATTAAGAATTATATTTCTAATAGGAGATATAATAAAGGAAAAAATGACTATAAAATTAAAAAAAAAAAATCACATCAAGGCTAATTGAATTAAATTACATGTCAACTGGCTAAATAGTTAACTAGTGATAAATGTTAAAAATAATATCGGGACATGCTGGACGTTTTGGCGGGAATGCCCATGTAGCGAATCTCATTCCCTGCTAAACAAACCTCATCCCACTTTGATATTAGCCTACAAAAATTGCGGGCAATTTTCAACAAAAAGGAAGAAAACGCAGAAAAGCAGAAATGGTACTTGACTGCACGGCACAAAAAAAAAATTGCTTGAAGCTCTCCTTCAACCCCTCTTTGGAGCCCTATCCAAACTGTCTGCCACATCGTCTAAAGGTAACAATTTATATAATGAACTGATTTCAAATTTGTGATGTGCCGGCGCCCGCGAGGCGAATGCTGAGGCTGGGGATGCGAATGGAAGTGACTTTAGTCGACTTGTTGGTCTGTTCTCTTTCTTGCTCCCGTCATTGGTAATTACCGGGCACCGGCAAAACAACAGTTATCCCGAGTAAAAATAAAAAAAAAGATAAATAAGGACAGGCGTAGCGAAAAGTCCGAAAAAATAAAAGCGACAGAAAAGGAAAGAATTTAGAGTAATAAATCGAATAGAAAATGCTCTTAAGTCTGGCTGATTTTTGTTCCATAAATAGGTACTTGTACGGTATACATATGTATGTATGCATGTAAATGTATGTCGTATGTTTCATGGTACAGCCTCGAAGATTAAACCAACCAACTCAACTGACAACACACCGAGATACGAGTATGTATGTAAATACTTATCCTGCTCTTCGGATAGCCCAGTTATGTATCTGTTAGGAACTCTAAGACCTTTAGGCCTAAACTCTTTGAAAAATTCCACATACCCCTTGCCGATGAGGGTATACCAAACGTACTGTTGCAGCGGAAAAAAACAGTAAATTGAAACAAGTTTAAGAACTGAACCGACCAGTGCTGGTGCTGTGGTTATTGGTCACCTGTCCTCCGGTATCCACGAAGGAAGAGCTTCATCGAATACTTTTCGATTACTCTCCCTCAAAAAATGCACCCAAACGGGGTGAGGGGGAGCCGAGGAAGGAACCGCAACATGATTTGGCAACTTTTTTGCCTTGCCTGCAACTTGTGGAAAGAAAAACCCGTCGCTAAATCATCTGTTCAGAGGCAGCAGCAACTCCAACCCAATCCTACCATTCCACGAGTAAAACCCACCTGACTGGATGACTTTGTGTGGGAGTCGGGTCTGTGGTGCAAGATTTTTGCGGTGGCTTTGAAAATTGTTTGGAATTTTTTCCGTCGTTTTGCAACACGTTGATTCCTTTATTTTTGCTTGATAAAAAAGAAAGTTGACAAATTGTTAAGTCTTTTCATATTTTCAAATTTTTACTCGTATACATATTACACATTTGAGGTAGCAAGGAAAAGAGCTTGCGGTTGCCGTTTTTTGGTTATTCGTGCAAACGAACAAAATACCAGTGGCTGTGTTAAGTTTTGGCAGAGTTTTTTGATTATTTCTTTACTTTTAGCGCTGCTTTTTGAAAGTTTGTGGAACAAGTTAATCGTTTTTGTGCCTTCAATTTGGTTTGTTGAAGGTGTCAAGGAGCAATTGGGTGGGCAGTTGATCGCACATGGCGGAGCTGGTATGTAACACCACCAACGAGAGAGGAATTGTGGAAATTTTCTATAGAATGGACACTTAATGAGTTAATTAGTTAATGCTAACTATGGTAGTATATAAATGACAAATCAACACACAGACATTTACCTATTTTTCCTCTTTATTTCGGATATCATACTTAAATATTTTCTTTTCCATTCTCTTTCTCTTTCACTTACCTTACCTTTTTGGTAAGTGTTTGCTTCCCGTTTATTTTCCATATGCACTTGAATGCAATTACTTGAGTCACTTCCCCCATATCCCTCCCATTCGATTTCATTAGTAAATTTGAATAAAGAAACTTATTTTGCAAAATATGCTTTAAATGCATTTAATTAAAAACATTTATGCAAATTGCAAACTGTTTACGATTATGGTGGCAACTGAATGTAAGTGCGCAAGGTGCAATACACTCTCCCCCTTTTCCGCTCCTCAAGCGACCCTCCTTCCCATCCAACAGGTAGCAAAGTTTCACACCATTTGCTATTCGCTGACCGCAGCTGCTTCCCCCCGACCGACTCTCTCAAACTTTTTCCCAACCAATAACCCTGCAGAGGGTATTATGAACTTCAGCATGTGTTTGCAACACTGAGAAGGAAGACTTTACGACCCCATTTGGTATTTATAGATATATTATTTGTTAGCATGAAGGGGCGAGTCAACTTAGAGCTCTCTCTCTCTCTAGTCCCTTAGTTTTGGACAGAGTTTTGCACAGAATATAAGTTTTACTTTGCCAAAGAAATGATCAGTCGAAATTGCAGTTAGCTATAGACAGGTCACATAGGAGCGATGGATCTGCAAGCGTATCTGAAGCTTCGAGGTATCTGAAGAGGCGAGAATTCTTTTCGTGATTTCTACCTCTTTCTTGCTCATTATCTCCACTGACGCAAATTATGGGAAACGAGTGTAGCAGTTTTTGCCCTCTCTTTGAAAGAGTCAATGCTTATGCTAATTTCTTATGCCGCGAGCTTCCTTTGTCCCCCTCCCGCCCCCTTGGGAGACCCACCTCATTCGAATGCATTTTAATTGCACTTTTTCCTGCTCCGCCAGAAACTAATAACTGGCAATTTATTAAAATGTTTTGCGGTTTTCCAGCAAAGTGCTTCGATAGCGGGGGAAACGGGAGAAAACTCAGCGCTTAGTACACTTTTGGACATTAGCTTTTTGTTGTAGTTTAATTTCATAAAAAAAGGAGTAGTGGAAGAGCAAAACACTAAAGAGCTGGATTTACTCTTTCGCCATCCGAGCCAAATGCGTTCAGCGAGGCGTGAAAATTTCTCTACACAGAGTCGCTGGCGATTTATGTGAGAATTATGTTAAATTAGCCAGCGAAGCGTGCGCTGCTGCGCCTTTCCGCTCTCCCCTGTACTCTGGCTAACAAATCTGATAAATTTATCAAAGACAAGCCAACAAAATCTGAGAAATTCGAAGGTGAGCAACTTTTTTTGAATCGAGGGTATGTGAACTAGATCTTTTTGGGGGTCTTTTTCCACAAAGTTGAAAGATGAATTGTTAGATTGGGTGGTCTCATTTGAATCTCGAGTAATTTGGTTTTAATCTTCGTTTAAGGGAAAATCTCAAACCGTTCACAGCTGGAGCCGCTGACCTAATTCACATTTGAGTTTACTTTCATCCCCCATCCCCCAATTTTTGGCTTAGTTTTGATTGTAATTGGGGATGCGTCTCAGATATCCGTACCATTATTCGCTTTGTGTACATATTTAATTACCGATTGTGTTATCTTCGAAATTAAAGTCAAAATTCTGTTTCAAATTCAAGTCTAGTATCGAAGCAAACAATTTATTGAATTTTGAAATCCTGTGAAAATAAGGAACCGCCCGGTGCCCAGCGATGAACGAGCCTAAGAAACCATCAATCGAAGCGAGTGAGCCAGAAACAATACCAAGTACGGAGGAAGCCGGCAGCCTCCTTGATACCCTGCAGCTGCACATCTTCCATCTTCTGGAGGACCACGCGGCGCAGCATTACCAGCTCAGTAGGGAAACATCGGAGGCACGTATGATCCTGGCCAGAGTTCGCCTGCAGGAGGGCAACCAGCGAACGGCTGCCGAGGCCCAGCTGCCCCGGTGCCGGCCCTACAAGGCACTTTGTCGACTGGTCGAGGAAGCTAGGCCCTGGGGTACCATCGTCAAGCTGATTCGATTGGCTGTCGAGCCCTGTCGGGGATATCTCCACCCGGTGACGAACATTTTCGGCGCCTTGGTTCCATTGAGCCTGCGAGTGGCGAGTCGAAAATGGGAGCGCTGTGTGGACCAGCTTGTGGACTGTGCCAACACCCAAAGAGAACTGCAGGCTACTATATCTTCCATAAGGCAACTCAGAAGGTCTGTCCATCCGAGGTATCCCCATAAATGAGCCGCTATAGAAGGCGAGGCGCTTTATTTCTAAGTAAAAAGTATTGCCCTGAATGGAAAACAAAAGGGATTTTGTATTAAATAGATTCTTTCCTTCCATATCCTTGTAGGTAACGGAAATACATGCATGCACATGTACCTATGTGGATAAAATCGTCTTCACCACGGTCGAGGCTATAAATAGACCGGTAGATTCATTGCGGTTTTTGTTTAATTTTTATAATTGGATTTTGAAATAATTGATAAATGGCACTTCAAATGGGGTGCGTATAAAATGGGGATGGGGATTTGGATCGGTGAGTTAATGGAGTTGAAATACAGTTTGTAAACATAAAAACTCAATTTTAATTACACTTTGCATCCGAAGAAGTGTTTAATAATGTGGAATCATTTTTTGGATCGTGAACCTTTCCTTCCGTGGGACTCTCTTGATTTGTGATTTGTGCAAAAATGTCCGTTTTGGCCCACAGTTTCTCTACCTCTTTAATTTGTTCGATAACCCTTGCAATGCCGGGCATCAATTATAGTCTAGTTAAAAATAAAATCAAATGCCAGAGCAGCTAGCATTGACGACATTGTCGATTCAGTGGCTAGCCTGTCCCCGACTGCCACTCCCCTTCCCTTCGCTCCACGGCACCAACCCTCTTAGCGGAGTCGTGGCGGCGGCAATTATGCGGCATTTTCTTTGGCCCCTAGCCACAAACGAGTTTCTTTCCGCCGAGATGTCTTTGCTTTGCTGTATTTCTGCGACATACAGCGGCAACTACAACAAAATACCAGAAATAACTTGAAAATCCATTAAACAACTGTCGGGAACGACTGCACTGCCTCCTGCCGCCTGCCGTCCAAAGGGATAAAGATAAAAGTTTTGTCAACTCTTGTTGGAAGGAAAGAAGGAGGCTAGGTTGACAAGTGATAACAATGTGTCAGTCGATAACAAGAGACAACGTCCTTGGCTTCAATTTTCTCTGTCTGCCACAGCTTCAACTTAAACTCCGACGCCAACTCGAACTCCGACTTCGACTTCGATTTATATTGATTTTTGCAAACATTCGTGGATGAAAAAAAGTGAAAGGCCACTCTGAAGGGTATCCATAACCTGTTTCCACAAACATTTCTGCACTTTTTGTTGTACCTCTTTGGCATTAAGAAAGTGAAGCCAGCTGGAAGTTGAGGGAGTTGCGTGGGTCCCACAGTACCCTCAGAAATAAGTCTGAGAATTTGATAGATGTGCATACATATGTATGTACATAAATACATACATACATAGGTATGTATATACATATTTTCGTGGGCAACTGAGGTTGGTTGGTCTTATGTATACGAAACTTATTTGATCGAGTGTCAGTTTTGGAAATGTTTTTAATAGTCCTGTGTTATTTGGATTATTACTGCTTCGAAGCCGCTGCACTTCAATATATAAAACCAGGCCTGTGCTCCTAAATGCGCAAGTAAATATGGTCGATGGACCGCGATTTGTCAAGGATTTACGTGCAGAAACTATTTGGCGGTCGGATATGGTTATTTTGGTTAATTGACTTTCAAAGTATAATTTTTGCTCATACAGAATGTAAACAGGACATGTTTCCTTTTTGAATAAAATGTCAAAATTTGCATATTTATACCCGTACTCAAAAAAGAGTTAAGGTGGTAAAAGTGGATGTGTGTAACGCAGAGAAGGAAACGTTTCCGACCCCATAAAGTATATATATTCTTGATCAGCATCAATAGCCGAGTCGATAGAGCCATGTCTGTCTGTCCGTCTGTCCGTTTGACCGTCCGTCCGTCTCTCCGGCTGTCAGATCTCAGAGACTATAAGAGCTAGGGCAACCAAATTTGGTTTCCAGACTCATGTGATATCACACTGCTAAAAGTGTATTTCAAAATTTCGCCCCGCCCCCTTCCGCCCCCACAAAGAACCAAAATCTGTGGCAGGCACAATTTTAAAGATACGATAAAATAAAAACGCAGTATCGTAGAGACTGCCCATATCTACCATACTGCCGAATCTGAGTCAGATCGGATCATAATTATAGCCAGAATGAAGAAATTAATTATCTGTTAGTTCCCCCGCCTCCTTGAGCCAGCGACACGCTACCTATCTCTTTCTCGCTCGCACACTCGTTCAGTGCGGTTAGTGCGCGAGCAACCCCTAGCGGAGGAGATGTAGAATATAAATGGTACATTTAGAATCTACATGCTAGATGTAGAATATACATTGTAGATGTTGATAACAGATGTAGCTAAAAAATGTAACAAATTTTCTTTTTAGTTATAAAATTCTAAAAAATTAAAAGCTCAATACTGACTGAGTGTACGGGCATAAGTAGAGACTCACACGTTCCTTCTCGTTTTTTTATGAGTTTGAGTCTATGTTTCGTCAAAAGGTGTTTCTTTTGTAGTAATGGGAAGTGGCACGGATTGAAAACCATTTCCGAAACGCGGTCCACCGTGGGTTTGTTTTGTTTTTCCTTTTTTGAGCATAGGCCATCTACCAAGCATTATTAATGTTTGAATACCACTCATATAAATCCATAGCGCATATTTGGATAATTTTCCATACGTTGTCCAAGAAGAGACGCGAACAAAATAAAACAATCTATATATATTCGATATAGTTCGATTGTCACGAATACGTTTATAATTTTCTCCACCTAAAATGTGATTTATTGGTTGCTAAATTAACTAATTAATACAATAGCACGAGTCTCTAGTATTGACGGCGATCCAATCCAAATACCGAGAGACGCGAGTGTAGACACCGGGGGCATCGGGCTTGGCGCAGCCATAGCCGAAGGACACCACTCCAGCCAGACGGAAGATGCGACCGTCCCTGACGATCAGTGGACCACCGCTGTCACCCTGCGAATAGGAGATTCAACCATAGGAGTAGTTCAATACAGATGATTATGATGATGGCCGCGATCGTCCAACCAACCTGACAAGCATCGCGACCTCCATATTGGACATAGCCAGCACAGAGCATAGTTTCCACAATCATGGACCTGTAGGAAGTAAGCCGGCACTGAGCATTGGTGATGATGGGCACGACCACCTCCTGCAGGACACTCGAAGTGGAGCCACCCTCCCCGCTCAGGCCCCATCCCGCCACGATGGCATTCTGGAAGTCAAAGTTCTGCAGCCAGTTGGTGGGCAAGCAGGCCGGCCGTATCATATCCACCAGGGGAATCGGCTGGTCCAGTCGCAGCAGGGCAATGTCATGGACCAGGCTGACAGGATCGTAGCCGGCATGGGCATGGGCAAAGGCCACCGATCGCGTCACTCCCAAGTGGGTCGAGCTCCTATCCAACTGAAGGAGACGCACTGACACGCCCCGCATATCCATGCCATGGACACAGTGAGCCGCAGTCAGGACATAGCGATCATTGATCAAAGTTCCGCCGCAGAAGAGGAGAGTTCCGCGTATGATCTGTGCAATCCACGGGTACTTGTTGGTCCGCACTTGGGTGCCGCCCACAATTCGATTGACGTTAGGCACGCCGCAGGCTAGAAGAGGATTTGTGTTGGTCTAGTGGAAAGAATAGGGGTCTGGGATAGGAACCGGCTGCACCAGGGATTGAAGTTAGACATTTTAGACAAAGTACGAGTGAATACATTTCTCTTTCAGCTTGGAAATCTCGTTAAAATCGGAACACTTCAATGTACTTTCTGCTTTTTATGCACAATATTTTCATAACCGTTTCAGCATTTATCAGGAAGAAAAAGTTGTGCATCGAAGTGTATCCGATAAGCCACATTTAACCGCTTTAAACTTGAAATTACTATCCTTATCCAACCATTGGTATCGATTCGTTCCCCGTTCCCCGGCCCATTCAGCCCAAAGCCTCTGGCTCTACTCACTGCAGCTGGCACAGCGATTGACGCGGAACGCCTTTGCGCCGCCGCCCTCCAGGGGCGAGAAGGGGCCTGAGGTGGTGGAAAACGACGAGGAGGCCGAATCCAACGGAGTCTCACTGGCCCCGCCCAAGACACTCGATAAGATTTGCTGCTTATGGCCCTCAATCAGATCATCAATGAAATCCGATTGCACTCCGGGCGGTAGGCCGGAACCCGGTGTCGCAGTCGAACTGCCATTGACTGGCAGAGGTGGCAGTCGTTCTGGTTTGGGGTAGAAATAACCGCGAGGAGGTGCTCTATAATTATAGACAGCAGAGCTCCAGTTTAAGCAAAATCCCAGACACACAGCGAACAGAAACGTTTGCGGATTGAATTTCATATTTTTTGTTTTGCCTGGATTAGAATCGAATCGAATCGAACCGATCAAACCGAACCGAACGAAACGCGCAACAGAACCGGACTGATGAGAAGAGTTCCCTATTTAACTGTTCTTATAGTCCACTATATCGATCTTCGAGCCGATTTTTATATCCATAAACTCATTAAAAAACTTAATGAAGAACTAAAACTGTCCATCAAATAATTTTATCAGCCAAGCTCCTTTGCATATTCAGAAAAACTTCAACCGATCATGTCTGCACGGACAAGCCCTTAATCATTACTTGACCTAGTTCAAGATTTATAAAAAGAGCCCGAGCTCATTTGTCAATATATCAAGAAAATACTCGTATCATCTTAGCATTCTGCCATCTTCGAAGTGTTCCAATGTTTTGTCTTTATCAGCATTTTATGTTTTTGGATTTGCATTTTGCGCGCGCAGCTTTCTTTTCCCCCGAAAGAGCCTGGTTCTATTAGAGCACTACACTTTCGAAGCGAACATCGCAAAAGCGATTTATAGTTTTGTTCCTGTTCTTTTGTATGTATGACCCATAATTGAGGTTTATTGGCAACACAAATTGGCAATTATGAGGTACTACATCAAAACAGTTACCGACATGAGTTCACATTTCAAGCAACGAAATCTTCGAATTCTAAGCAATTACCAAAACTCATAGAAAGCTGACGCTAGGTGATCTTGGGGTTACCAAAGACAGTCTGTGTGAAATTCATCAATCGAGTATGAAATGAGAGGCAAAGCTTCAACTACCTAGAGAAGTTAATAAATTGGTTCCGTTTCCTTCTCAATATCCAATATCACATCGGATGCTGTCAATAAAAGCGCCCAGGGCGAAACATGTTTTTCCAAATGAAAGTAAATTGACTTCCTCAAATCAAAACCATTAACCAAATGCATCCCACAAAAAATAAATATTCTGAATATGATCGAGAGAAAAAAGAAAGTAAAAAGAACCTTCAATACGTCGAACAAATAAATTGGGTCAAACTAATGAAGATACCGATAAAGATGCGTATAATCGAAAAAGGCCCAGACGCGGGAGAAGACTGGAAATACTTGTAAATGGGATGATGTTTATAATCGGGCCCCTTGTTGGACCAACAGCGCCCAAAGACTCCGAAAATGAAACAAGGTGCACGAAAACCCAGCCCCAGCCCAGACCCCAAGCCCAAGCCCGTCTCTGGCAACGACTCTTACTCTGACCCGAGTGAAAGAGCGCCGAAGTATTTGGGTCACCTCGGTGAGGCGTCAGCTTAGAAGCCGATGAGGAACAGCACAACAAAGTTGAATAGATGATGACACCGAAGCCAGTCTCACACAGACACACTCACGCTCACATTGGCAGAAAGAAAGTCTCTTTAATTTATTTATTTATATGCAAGCCGCTAGAATCAATGAGAAGAAAGTTCTTCCAAACAGCATCCCAAAAGAAACGAGTTTTTCTCTTCATCTGTCTCTCAGCACAGCTCTCAGCTCAGTCTCGGCTCTCTTCTACTCAGAATAAAACCTACACGAAGTTGAGATGGGTGCCTCGTGCCTCTTCAGCAACATCTTCATTGAGAAAGGCTTCGTGACTCAGTGAGTGAAGTATGGGGTATCTTTGGCTAGTCTTGGCTGGCTATTTATGGCCAATAGATCTCGTTGCTGTTGAAGTTGTTGGTCAATGCGTTCCACTTGCATTAAACTGGGTCAGCGCAGAACCCGAGAAGATGCAGCAAAGCAATAAAAGCACTGCAAGACGTTCTAAAGACCTAACCAAAAATAATTTAAAATTCATTTAGTTCGTTTGAAGTCCGTCAGTCAGTCTTCAAAAAGTTGGTTTGGCTGTTGCACGTTTGGCATTCGGTTGTCTTACAAATTTGTGGTCAATTATCGCATTTTTATTATTAACCTGCAGTTGTGGCTGCACTTAGTTAGTTAGCTTAGCTATTTGTTGTCTTATTTTAATGATTGTCACTTTGCAAAACTTTCTCAGACTTTATTAAGTTTCACCGTCACACGGACACGATTTTGCTTATGACTTTTGCGGAATTGGTTTCGGAATGGTTTGCCATCCGAGGATTTTGTGCGCATCGTGCATTGCATTTAATGTACGAGTATGTAATTGTAAGCGAGGATTTGGCAAATGCGAAATATTTTTATGAAATTATGTTTATGATTTTTGGGTGGCACTTTGCTCTTCCAAATACTAAATACTATACCAATATGTAGGTCTCGACTCTTTTACTTTCGGATGCTCATTTTTATCGAATGTTTTCATTTGAAATTTTCTCCCGAAACACACAGCTATACACATACAAACATACATACATACATGGGTATGTAAGTATTTTTTTGGAAGCAAGTTCGCTGCTATAGTCTTTTGTTTTTTCTCGAGGGGCTCAAGGCCCCTGTTTCATTTTCAACCATGACTCAATATAAATCATATAAAATAGTTGGAAAAAAAACTCAAATATCATTGTGGACCACCTTCAACTTCGCTTGACATTTGAAAGTATCCAGGCAACAGCAAAAAATATGCAAAATGAACGAAAACAAGTTTGCCAAAATCCACACAAGTTGCAAAATGATTCTCAATTTTCTTGTTTTCTTGAAATCTTCATTTACTTTATTGAAATAAACAGTAAATAAAACTAATGGAAGCTTAAGTAAAATAAAATACAGATGAAATAAGAAATCAAACTGATAACTGAAAACAGAAAACTGAAAACTGGTTGGGGCTGTTGACATCGTCGGGAGGCTCCATTTACGGGCTACAAAAAGTCGTTACTCGTATTAAACGCCGTCCAACGCCTTCTGTGGATTCTACCAGCCAGGCAACCACCTCCCTTTCCTCCTCCACCCCTCCTGCTGGTGGGTGTTTTGTATGTGGCACGCAATTGTGCGGTGAGGTAATTAATAAGCCTGCAACAACAACATTAAAAGAGCTCCAACTGAAATTGAATGTTGCGCTGTAAGCGAGTGTCGAGTGGCGGCCCGGGCATACTAAGCAGCCATCAATATGCTCAAAGTTGGCGGTCGGCCCGTCCCAACCCGGCTTGGTTACTGACCATACCCAAGACGAGTTTCTGTTAACTGTTATAGGGTTTCAGTGTTTTTGGGCCTTTGCGCAAGTGCAGTAGCTCCAAAACCACTCAATGCAAAAGTCAATGCAAACAAGCTGGAACAGAGCTACTAGTTTTGGGGATACGGTTTCAACGGAGAATGATTGTTTCCAGTTTTTATGGAGAACATTTTCGCTTTAACATATGTAAGTCTGTTTTTATAGCATGAATCTCATGAAATATGTAGTACGTGTGTGTCCTCCTCTTAGTTTTGCCTTTAACTTTTCTATGATCGATAATAAACGGGGCGGTGGTCGTTTCTGGGCACGCACACCCGACCAGTCAGTATATCAGCTTATGATTTTGTATTTTGGTTTACATTTTACATTTTTTGCTACATGCATCTACATATACAGTCTATTCTACACTACAGTAGATGTACGGTTCCATTAGCTAATTTTAGTCTACACCTTAGGGGTTGCTCGCGCCTGAACGGGCGGGGGCGGGCAGTAGCGCGCAGCGCTGGGGGGGCCAACTTTCTCATTATGGCTATTTATTCCGTCTGTTCAGATCGCAACGGGATATGGGCCCTCGCGGGTTTCGTCTTTGGCCGCCACTTCGTTCTTTGGGGGCGGAGGGGGCGGGGCGTTGCAGAGCGGGTATCACATGGCTGCCATGGTTGCCCTGCTTTTATAGCTCTGGTCGGCGCCCAAGACGGCAGACAGACGCGGACAGACGGACAGCGCGGCTCGCCGGCTACTGGGCGTGGGGCGCGTCCCCGCGTTACACACCACCCACACCCTACTTTGTACGGGTTAAAAAACCTCATTAGGTAAAAAAAATATATTAAAATAAATATATTTATATACATATGCATGTACATACATATGTATGTTGCTCGGCAAACATTCCATTCTATTTCTTTCCATTAGGATTACAATTTTGTTGGAAATTCAAAGATATGTACATATGAGTGTATCGTGGGGTTTGGCGAGGCCAGAGCCTAGACTCGAACAGAGTAGACCAGAGACCAGAGACCAGACTCGATACCAGACCCCATACCCATGCAATATTTCTGAAACGGCAACAGCAACTTCAGGTTGTCTAACAATTTTAACCCAGTTTTGTTTATTTCTTTTTTACGTTTTCCGATTTTTTTGCTTTCCACATTCTTGTAGGAGCTGCACAACACCATAAACAAGTTTTTTCTTGGCTTGAGCCAAGAAAAGCCAAAGCAAAACTGGCAAAAACGACCGAAAAGTAAAACGGAAAAATAAAACAGAGTGTGGTGCGCAAATTGAAATTGAAGCTAATGAAAAGGCCAAATTGCCAAGTGTAGAAGACGAGGAAACCCGCGAAACAATCGTGCAAGTAGCAACAGTCGAAAGAAGAGCAAAGGAAACAATTGTAACATTTATCAAGTTGCAAGTTACAGCCCTGTGCAATGGGGTTGTGAGTGACTTGTGAGTGGAGGATATGTGCGGTCATGCATTACGGTTGAGCAATACGGGTCAATAGGGATTTACGGTTAGACATGCGCGGCAAGGCCCCTAAGTAGGTGCGGAAATAGCCAGCCAATGTAATGAGAACGCTGGACGATTAACCATCACACAGCTCGACACACAATGAAATCCAACATGGCTTGTCATGGTATGGTATGGTACAAGTACTCGTATGTGTGCCATCGCCTCGTCTGATGTGGATGCTATGCTCCATCAATGGCGGCGAGTGGGTCAGCAAGCAGCGAGGGGCAGGTGAATGTGATGAGCCTGCATCTAGCTTGCAGCCAGCCAACGACAAATGGGAACGAACAATAATGTTTGAGGTTTGTCAAGTTGTTTACAGTTATTGGAAGCGGTTTAGTTGCCGGATATTCTCGGGCCACGGCCAGCTCGAGAGTGCTCATTCCGCAGAGTGTTATATGAATTATAGCTCAAT